GTCCAATGGTTGTCTTCATTTATCTCAAACTAAATACATCAAAGATATTCTTCACAGAGCTGGTATGAGTGACTCAAAAGGACTCCAAACACCTATGGTCAGTTCATGTAAACTCACAAATGAAGAATCCAGAGTTGTTGAAGACCCTACCTTTTACAGATCTATAGTAGGTGCACTCCAATATGCTACCTTAACCAGACCTGAAATTAGTTTTGCTGTCAATAAGGTATGTCAATTCATGGCACAACCTCTTCATGAACATTGGCAGGCAGTCAAACGAATTCTGAGATACCTCTCTGGTACACTCAAGCATGGCATTACTATCAAACCAGCAGTCTCAAACTCACCACTACCTTTAAATGGATACTGTGATGCTGACTGGGCTTCAGATCCTACTGACAGAAGGTCAACCTCTACTTCTTGTCTCTTTCTTGGACCTAATATCATATCTTGGTGGTCTAGAAAGCAAGTTTGTGTTGCCAGATCTTCAGCTGAGGCAGAGTAGGCAGAGTACAGAAGTCTTGTGTCTTGCAGACACCATTTTTCATTTTCATCATTTTCATTTACCCCAGTGCCGCAAAGGCTCCCACCTACAGTGGGGTAAGGGGGGTCGGATGTACGCAGTCTTACCCCTATACTAAAGCACAGAGAGACTGTTTCCGGATGACCCATAGTGAAAATCGCGTCCAAAATTGCATGGACTGACTGCTGCTTCATTACAAAGAAGCGCAGACAGTTTAAGTGCAATCCTTACTGAAAGAAGTCCAAGTTCCATATTATGTCCCATAATTTACTGTGATAATCTCAGCACTGTGCATCTTTCTCATAATCCTGTTCTGCACACTAGAACAAAACACATGGAACTTGATCTGTACTTTGTCAAAGAGAAGGTTCAAACAAAGCAATTGGAAGTCTTTCATATCCCAGCTCATTTCCAGGTGGCAGATGTTCTTACAAAACCTCTTTCCAGCTCTAGGTTTGCTGAACTGCGGTCCAAACTGACTGTTGATGATCTGGATACAAAATCAACCTCAGTTTGAGGGGGAATGTTAGGAATATTCTAGAGTGATGAGCTGGTAGAGGCGGTTAGACTAGTTAGTTAGAAGTTGTTATTCATACAAGTCTTGGTTATTGCTTTGTATAGATACCCCTGTAACCTTCTCTCTATCCTTAGGATTGAATCTGTTCATTCTCAGTTTTCTATTCTCCTATCTTTTCTATCATGCCGAGACTAAAAACATACTTGCACCTACAAAAATATTAGATTATTCTTAATTACTAAATTATTCATTTTGTCCCATATTATAAGTCCTTCCTTTTTTACTTTGTCCCATTATTATGTGAACTGTCATTTTAAAAAACCACTGACCACTCATTTTCTACACTCAATTAATTTATGATTTACCATGTGGACCAAATTGCACAATTTTTTATTTTTTGTACAAGGAAAAATTACTGACCACACATCATGTATTTCCTAGTGTGCAAAAGAAATTAACACCAATAAATGTTGAGGGAGTAATTATGAATAATGAAAGTATCTTAATTACAATAAATAATTTATTAAAAATGTTATCAGATCAGTTTTTAGTAAAAAATACATATTATCTTCCTTTATGTAAGGGTTAGACGAGCACATCAACAAATCAATGATATTCTGATTCTCATTCTGCAATCCCTAACGAAGTTCCACTGTAAGTAGACACCCTACTATTACTTCCATAGTTGCATTCCAAACTCACCTTTTTCATTCTTAAGGTAACACTATTACTCTAACTTATGAAGTATACAAACCAGAAATGTAGATGAAAAAGTTCTTGAGGAGAAAGATTAAACTCTGGACATGCCAGGGCAGTCCATTATCTGGTTGGTTTTATAACTCGGTAGAGTTGTCATAGGATTACACGAAATTAACGTCTCAAGATTGCCAGAGAGCATATAGAAACATATTTTTCAAGGTTAGAGCACTTCAACATTTTTCAATGACATAATGTGGGAGTAACACCTATAGAAGATAAGATGCAGGAGTCTCATGTGCGGTGATTTGGGCATGTGCGTAGAAGACCGAGTGATGCACCTGTTAGACGACTTGAGGGGTCAGGAGAAGAGACGGAGAGGAGAGGGAGGGGAAAACCCAAAGAGACTTGGATTAGAGGAATCAGAACTGATATGCGACTTCTTGGGTTAGATGAGAGTATGACTTTGGAGAGAGTAAAGTGGAGAACGCACATTCATGTGGACGATTGATCTCTTTTCTATCTTTCCTCTCTCTTTTTCTTTTATCGTTAATCTTCTTTATCTTTTTATGTTCTTAACCACCAATTAATGAGTTAAATTAATTTGTCTTTTTATCTTTTATCTTTCTTATATTCTTATATTATTGTTATCTTATATTTATTTATCTTTATCTTATCCGTTTTATCTTACTTTCTTTTTTTCTTCTTCTTGTTTGTCTTCTCTTTTTGACATCGATATCATGATTCGATTCATGTTAGCTGACCCCAAAATCTTTTGGGATTAAGGCTTGGATGTTGTTGTTGTATCATAAAAGTCAAGCACAAAAATGGGACAAAATGATAACAACGCAAATGAAAACAATACTGTCATGGGTGCATCTGGAGGATAAATGGTCCCACAAAGATTATATATTGAATTTGTATCTTCATAGAAGCAAAGTTTCCCCTGCGCTCAGAGGGAACTCTAGTTGGGGGGAAATGTCTTTAGGACTATCCAAAACTTTAAAGCACCTGAAAGAAGAGATCTACACACTTCTTGAACATCCAATTAGATATGAACAAGTTTGTCAGCTCTAGAATAATAAGTTCAATCTGTCATTCTGTCATGGAGAACCTTCCAGTGTTTTCCTTGTACCAGTCGAGTACATTTATATATAATACAACAGCCGAGTCCATTCATCTCTTACCCACAGTTCAAGTTACTAATCTTGAATTCATCATTCCAATATAATCAATAAGTATCTCAACGCCTCATATCCCCCCACCATGCAGTAATGCACTAGAAACTCAATGTCATGAGAATATGAGATAGTTAAAGAGCTGTAGTTTTTATCTCATGTTGGAAGAGCAAGAGGCTCCTTAGCTCATCTTAGTTGCTGCTTGAACCCACTGGGCCATAAACCTCGTTATTTCTTAACACTCACTGTTATAGCATTCTTGTGCAGAACTATAGATGGGCATTTGATTGCAGGACATCCTTATTTTAGCATTTATATGGTTATAGAGGAAATTTCAATCGTCAAGTCGTCCACACCCGACACAACCTCTTTGGTTGTTTTACCTTTCATCCTACATTCCTACTTGTTTTGCTTCTCCGGGGAAAAACTAAGCACATTTGTTTATATATTTAATCTGCATTTCCTAGTTCTCTAGCGAACAACTAGAATCTGCTCACCTCTTAAATAGAACACCACTAGCCCATGCTACAATTTTATCACATTTTCTCTTTTATCATGAAAGAAACCAAACAACATGAGCAGTCTATTGACCCCACACTGAACTTTGTACATTTTTAATGGAGTTGTTCACTTTTCTATACTGATTATCCTCTCAATATATAAAAAGTACGCATTAGACTTCAAAGCATCTCGCTTAAAAGTCAGAAATTTCTAGGACATGACCATGAATAGTATTGGTTTAGTATTTGCATCTGGAGGTTCTTTCCAGATAAGCCAAAAGACAACTATTTGGTTCTGTGAACTGTAGCAAATTTTGCATCTAATAAAAATCAGCAACCCAAGGCTGAACAATCAATTCTGCAGCAGCAGCTAGACTTACCTGGAAAACAGCTATATTTTAAGGGAGGTCCCAAAACGGCAGGTCTGCAATTTCCCAAACCATATTGCAAAAAAGCAAAGCTATAGCCATTGGAAAAGTGTTCTCTAAAATATAAAGATTAAACTAATTGAATAAAACAATTGAAATAGCAAAATGGTTGAGTGGTAAAAAAGTTAAAAAGCGAACAATGAAACATGGGTAGGAACAGGAAAAACACAGTAAAATATCTTCAAATGCAGGTACTACCCATTATTAGGGTTTGGGAACCATCCCTGGGAACTGGGATACAATTGCTGACAGTGACTGGTGTGGAAAATATTAATGGGATTTAGGATCCAAAAATAAGAATTCTACAAAATGACTGCTTTACATGAAGTCAAAGTGTCAAACTAATCACAGAAAGGAAAACTTACCATAACACAATTATAAGAAATTGAAAATATATATTCAAGCCTATTTGTATGAAAATAAATTGTTAATAAGTTACTAAAATAATACCACATAAGAATATGCAAATTAAATTTATAAGAGAAATACAAAATTAGCCATACTTGAAATGTACTGTGAAATTGTGAATTCTTGTACATATATAAAAATAATAATAGAGCAAAACCCCTAAAAAGAATAAACAAATAAAACAAAATCTGAATTTTCTTTAAAGTAAAACACAGATTGAACAAAAATTAAAAGTGACCAGAAGTTCAATCAGTTTGAGAACAAGAGAACAAAACCAAACACCCATTTTGTGACGTACTTATAAAATAAAAACCCGCAGCAAACATTCCATTCTTGCAGAAATTATGAAAGCTCCAATCTACACTTTATACTACTAGATACCCCAGCCCTCTTCTTAAACCCTATTTTCAAAAATCAAACCGCCTAAACATAGCAAAATTCAAATAAAAAATCACATATGCACATAAAATTGAGCACCAAGAAAGAGCAAGTCATGCCAACAGAATAGAATCGAAGTTCCAAAAAACAAAGAATTCAGAACTCCAAAGAATTGGAGCTTCTGAAGCAATTGAGTTTATGAAGAATCAATTACACCAAAATACTTGACACCCATAGTCGTTTCATCACATATATCTAAGAAATTCAAGTTAATAGAACAGAAGAGTTACCATAAAGAAGACTGACACGAAAATCAACGCCCAAAACGGGAAAAAAGAGGACTTCAATAGAAGTTGGGGAAAGTGGGGGTACCGTTTTTTTCCAACCAGGAGGAGCAGGGAGTTCCATGGACGCCACTTCATTCTTCTCCGCAGAGGTAGACATTTTCTTTCTCCCAACTAACCAGAGGTTCTGAAGCTCGGCCTTCTTCTATCTTCTTATGGAAAGAAACTCAACGAACCAGCCAACCGACTCATTTATTACACCGTAATCCGTATTGTTCACTTACTAATTTACTACTGCAAGAAAATGGACTTCGTGTTTTATTTTTTTACTCCAGGGATTACGGCATCTGGTACATGTCACGTGAGAAGATGGAAAAAGGTTCGAATAGGCCATCCAATTAAAAAAAATGTGCAAATCCTTCTTTCTACGGGATGATTCAGAGCGATTCCCGTTGGAATTTTTTGATGAAATTTTTTGAACATCTTCTTCATTAAGTTTAGTTTACTCATACCAAATTGCATCTAAAAATTCAATCGGAAAGACAGTCAAATGAATTTTTGAAGATAACTGTGTCTTCCCGATCGACATTTTATCTGAAATTTGGTATGAGTGAACTAGACTTAATGAAGAAGATACTCAAAATTTACACTTTTTAAGTTAGTTCGAGTACATATTTGACCTTTTTCTCTTAGAAGAATAAACAAAATATATACGACCAACAAAAATTCACAATTTCTTTTCTTCATTGAAAAAATTCAGGTTTTGTCGCTTTATGAGCAGGCACATGACTAAAAAATTGCATTAAATTTCTAAATTATCCTTAATAATATACCTTTTTAAGAAAATAGAGAAGATACCATAAAAAGGGGAAATTAGAGAACTTTTTAAATTCAAAATTGGAAAAGATTAGAGTGAATTACCTAAATAAGATTAAAAGAGGATAAAAAAAAATAGGACTACATTATTTTAAATTCCCTACTAGGATCACTTATGTGTGTTTGGATAAATATATCTTTTTAGCTTTTAAAATGTTTTAATTCATAATAAAATCGTAAACATATTAAAAAATTGTAAAATAAAAATTTCAAAAAAAATATTTTTATAAAATTAAAAAAATAAAGTGAAGGAAAATACATTGCCACCTCTGCCACCCCCAGCACCACCAGCTCCGATCACCGAAAAAAAATGTCAACATGCATTAGTAGTGTCATATTTTTGGCAGTTTAATTGAAAATTTTGGCATTATCAAGGGTAATAATGTCATTTTATTGACATTTTCAGAAAAATGATACTTCCTCCGTTCTTAAATAAATGCAACGGTCAACATTTCACATTTGCCAAGACATAATTTTGACCATTAATATATATAATTCCCTATTAATAAAAAAATTACAAAAAATAGATATTGAAAATTTACAATGAGACAAATTTAACAATATTTTTTTCAAAAATATATATTAATACATTAATAAATAAAACGTGGTCAAAGTTGAACATGTTAATAGTGTAAAATTCAACATGTTGCATTTATTTAAGAATTGAGGTAGTATTTTTTTTACAAAATATGACATTTTTTTCACCGACCGGAGGTGGTGGTGCTGGGAAGCGGTAGAGGCGGTGGGAAAGCCATCCATATTTTTTTTATGAATTTTACTACTCCCTCCGTCCCATTTTGTAAGATACTTTACGGTTTACGATGTTTGACCGACGATAAAGCAAATTGATCCCTGTAAACACTCAAATTAGTTTTAGAAAATAAAATTTACATATCCAGAAACTACATAAAAACCGCTACAAAACCTACAAAAAATAATTCAAATTTCATAAACTTTTGATATATAAAGTAAAAGATTAAGAGTGATTTAAGTTGACCAAGTGAATAGTAAAAGTATCTTACAATTTGGACTGAGGGAGTATTTTTTATAATTTTTTTTTGTAAATGTTTTATTAATTTTTAATATTTTTTACGATTTTTATTATTTTTGCGATTTTATTATGAATTAAAACATTTCATTATAAATTAATACCCTTAAGGGTATTTAGGGTAGAAAATTCTTCTTTGATCCTATTTGTGAATGGTTTAGGGTTGTAGTCCTATTTGTGAAGTTATGTTTCTATTGAGTCCTATTCAGGTCAATTTTTAAAAAAATTCACTGCTGAATTTAAAGCTTCGGGTGAGTGAAATAAAGCTTACAGTTTTGTCACGATTAAAAAATTCAATCATGCTTGATGTACACACCCTTGTACACACCTTATACACAACATGTTTGTGAAGCTTTTTTTTTGTCTGTGAACCCGGTTCACAGGTAATATTTTGTTTGTGCAAAACATTGTCTATGAATCGATGTTCACAGACAAAAAAAACTTTCACAGACATAGGTGTGTACAAAAGTGTGTACAAACATCATTTTTGTAAAAAATGACATGTTCAACCAGTTCAAAATCGGACTCAACCAAACAGGATCCAAATTACTTTTTATCACGTGACCTATTTGATCTAGATCTGTCCGAATCTATTTCTCAATCTAGTCTTGTCCGATTTTAACCCAAGGATCATTATTAAAGTGTACACCCGACCCAAATAAGAAAGACTGCCCAACAATTAATACAAGTCAAAAAAATTCGTTGGCATTTTTGTAATTTAAGTGAAAAATCACGGTTTCCGCTAAATGAGCAATAATGTACATTTAATGAGCATCTGACCTATTTTATTGAGTATTTAGAGGCTAACAATGAGTATTATGATTTTTGCTTCATATATTCTAATTCAATTATTTTCCTTATTTTTTATTTTATAAAAACTAATTGAATTATTTCTATAATAGACTCCTATGAATTTCCATATGCGAATTTAATGCAAGATGATACTTTTAAAATATGCATTGATATAACATTTTAAAATGAGCATAACATCAATACCATATGAGTATACGTAACTTATAAAATGTTTATTGATATGAAAATCGTAAGATTTGTTAGTTTAACATAACGATATGTTCATTGAGCATCAAACCTCATTTATTGAGATGAAAATCAAGGTTTCTGTTAAATGAGCATACCATCACTTACAAATGAGCATACATAACTTACGAAATGAGTATCAAAAAATTTAAAAACGCATTTTTGTGTGCTCATTCATTTTGGACGTTATACTCATTTAAATTTAACATAAAACTCATTTTTAATTGTGCAATGCAATTAGTAATTGAATTACTAAAAACTTCATTAATAAACGAGTAACAACAACCTAATTTCAGTTAATTGTAATTAAAAAGGAGAAAAGTCAGAAAAGTTAGCGAGGCATTCAGTCTTCACTCTTCAGCGACTTAGGCAGTCAGGCACAAAGGCACTCATAGAGGCGGCCGGCGGCGATTCCGGTCTCCATACTCCAGCGAGTCAGCGAGCCGTGCGACGTTGAAAGTGTCAGTGTGCGACGGTGTGAGGCTGCGAGCGCGGATGCGTCAGGCGTAGACCCTGGAATCTCGGAGGCGTGGCGCGGTGATGACTTAACGTTGTGACGTCGTGTTTTGTAATTAATTACAAAAATACCCGAATGTACGGTGATGACCGTACATGCGGGTGTACGGTATAATTTGCGTGGGTGTTATGGGTAGGGGTTTCTATCATAATATTTCCATGAAGTTTATGTGGCGATTATAATACAATAGACATTAATATTAGTCTATAGTCTATACTAGTAACAACCACAACAATAGTTTAATAATATGAATTTTAGTAACTTAACATAGAGGATCACTAATCTGGCTATAAATTTACAAATTATGCACATAAGTTCATGTTGGAAAAATGTGTTAAAAATTGCATTAAATGGTACTTTTGGGGCAATTATTTGAGTGAGGTCCACTTCCGGTTTGGGTCGGGTCAAAGTGGTTTCGGATTGTCCTTGTTAAGGGCTACAATTCGATATGTGGTACACTCAAAACGGATAACGTGTGAATGAGAAATTGATTCTCGAAGTTCACTCGTTGAAATGGAAAAACTTGGAAAATGATGGGTTTCTGGTGTGTTTTATACCACACCGGAAAACTCAAGGGATTTTTACCCCCTTATAAAGGGAAGCCTCTTTTAAAGAGTTAAGATTCCTGAATGTAAAGGTTCTCTCTTACGCGCAGGGGGGTGCCGATCAAATCCCGAAACGGAGAAGAAAACCCGCGACTCGTGTGTGCGGGCAACCTGCGGACACGAATGTCGATCGAAAATCTATCGTTCAAAGATACGGTTTAATTTTTGTTTCTTCCCGTAACATTTTGTTTTTCCCAGGACCAGGGGTGCTCGGGCAGAACTGCTCCAACTCTGGTGGGGGTCCTCTGTTGGCTTCGCATCAGAGTTGCTCCAACTCTGATAGGGGTATTCTGGTCGTGCACCAGAACTGCTCCAAGCCGTTACGACAATTAAATGCCCAACGTTCTTGTCTTTTAATGTTGCGTTAAATGGACAGTTTATGGACGATTCAATGCCCAACGGACTGGTCATTGATGTCCAACGTTCAGGTCCATTAACACCCCATTTAACACACAACAAATCCTCCTATAAATAGCGTACAAGTGGTTTGCAACAACAACAACTCACAATACATTCCTCACGTAATTTTGAGCTCTAAAACACTTCCAGCTACTCTGAAAAATTCCTAAGTGTTCATACTGTGTTCCAGTTCGCCGGAACTCTCGTTTGTGTGCTCAAACGTTAGTTCGTTATCCACTGTATCCTAGGAAACGGTCGTTGCAACGCTCCTAGCACCGTGGGAGGCGACGAATACGTTTTAAGGACATCGTGCGTAGCACGAGCTCTGGCTAAAATCTGCTCCATCTTATTTCCGTTTTTCTTATTAATTAATATTTCTTCATTTTTCCGACACACCCAACAGTTCAATATTCTTAGCACAACTTACAATAATAAGTAACACTATGTCCTTGAAAAGACAATCACTAAGCATTCGATTATTACACACTTTTCTTACAACAAGAAGCACTAGTTTCATACTTTCATAGCCAAGCTAAAAGCTTTAAAAAATTAAACGGGTTCACACAATGTCGAGTGATGCAATCACCCGTTTAGGAATGTAAGGCCTCATTATGCTAGAAAGCTCATCCAAATGAAGCCAAAGAATCTTCCCATACTAAGTGCTCGGCCTATCGGATCAACAGAATGTCGAGGTATAATGTGATACAAATTGTGCCTTCCAAGCCTCTCATTGTTCTCACAAATCAACACAAACTTATATCCACAGTTTGTCTTTATTCGTGTGCAAGTTAATTGGTGAACCTTGATAGAGGACAAGAAAACTGTGTAGGTATAAAGGAGTGAGCAAAGCAGTGAGC